TACCTCTACCCCTCTCACTCCAACTGTAGTTTGCAACTTTAAACTATTATCATTTATGACAAGCCAATTTCAACACACCTTGGCTCCCTTCTGGGAGACGTTCACAGTCTACAGATTTGTTAACCTTTAGAAACCTACAAAAATAACTGCTCTAGATTAAGTCCCAGCCTGGAAACTTATTCCAGAACAGAAGCCTCCAAAGAGTTACCTCAGAATAACTATTTCAATAAGTCTGCAAGTATAAATAAGGCAGACAAATACCTAGAGGCTGGAGGAAAAGAAACTAAGGAATACAAATCTTTGTCTCTATTATTCCATCTGTGCCCTAAATTTTGATCATTTTTACAGAAAGGAAGAGAACTTGAAACCGTTTTCTGCAGCTCAGGACTTCGCTCTGTCTTTTTTTCTTAAATCTGCAAATAACATTTTTTTTTCACTTCAAATTTACTTCTGTAAATTTGAATGGATTTAAAAGATTATAAGTGGATGAATATGACAGTGCTACCCAATCATCCAAAGGCTGGATCTCAGATGTAGGTTCTGTTCTTCCCGAAACCAATCTCACGTCTCTCCATGTTACAATTATCCCTGCTTACAAAACAGGGCAAGTCTTCCTCCTACCCCTGCAGCCAATAAAAGAAAAAAAAATTAGTTAAGAGAAGAGCAATAAGAACAGTTAGTTGTTTGAGAAATATGACTTCAGTTAAGCAGCCAGAGGATTTCTATCTAGTTTTCTGAAGGAAGGTGACAATCAGTCTAGAATTATTTTCACAGACTTGAGGTATCAGACAGACCAGCTTGTGCTACAGAAATCAAAACAGCCATTGCTTTCAGCTGTGACTTCTGCAGAAGCTCAGGTATGATTTTTATCTCGTATAATCTGTATCTTAACTAACATATCTAACAGGACATCATGAAAGAAGATACTTAAGCCAGAGCCATTATTTCTGAAGCAGAGCAATTTCCAAATCCACTTTGGATAATTCATTGGTTCTGCTAACTCCTCCGCTCAGCACAGAATGCCAAGGGATAGCAATAAATACAGCGACGCATGCATGGAAAATTTTGCTGCTTCACTTTGCATTATAGTTGGGTAAACAGAAACTAGCAAAAGAACAGCCAAATATCAACAGTGCCTCTGTAGTTTGCAAGCACAGGTATTGCAGAGCATTTAAATATTTCTTCTTTGGGTGTAACAGGTGCAATAAAAAAACAAAATCCAAGTTAGAAAGGGCAGACACATTAAAAATAGAAAAAATAAAATACTTCTATATAGAACAATACATTGGAAAGGCAGCCACCTCTATTGCCAAGGAATACCTGCTACCGCGTTGTACTGAATCAGTATCATCTCAGTTGCCAGCTGCAGTTCTGGGTCCACACTCTTTGCTCAAACAACAGACCATAGTATATAGCAGCAGCTGTATGAAGAACATAGTTTATATCTAGAATGTGCTGTGCAGTACACTTCACACTGTACTTCCTATTGCATATTCAGCAGTCATAGGAAATGAAGTTCTAATCTGTGAGCTGAAAAATTTAAGTTTCCTCCTTCAAACACACTCATGCATAGTAACACTTAAAAAAACAACCAACCAAACCAAACCAAACAGCCCCAAACCCCACCTCCTAAGGGGTTACATCTACATCAAACAACAACTTTAATTACCTCCCTGCGCATCTATACAAGCAAGTGCTACTTTGGATGCATCGTTAAGAAAAACGCATTCTCTAAGATAACCCTGTCACAAACAAATGAGAAGAAAAATCTACTCTGTCAAATAAAACATCATACTTCTTCACCACTGTGTGGCAAGATTACTCACATTTGTCAAGGAAACACCAGGTATTGCAAATAAATGCAACAGACCGTTTATTCATTCAATCAAATTGACATTGCCAGTTCGGTGTTCAGGAAGTGAACTGTTTTGGGTCAAACTGGACTATCAACCCTATTGTTTTTATACCAGTGAAGGCTCTTGTACTTTGGTGTTGAGAAATGGCCACAGTTTAAATGGAAAGGAGTTTCAGGCTGCGGCATCAAGTAACGTGAAACGAAACATTTTAGCAAAAGGTGAGTGTTACGAATTAACCTTAGGTGAGCTACTAACAAAAATACTTACCCATATGGCAGCTGTTGGGCAGAATATAGGATTGGATAGTCTCAACTCAGTTCTCAGTGAAAAGGGATCTCCTGCATAGGATCCAGCACCAAAACAATGGTACCCCGAACCACTTTGTGCCCATTCCCACAGAAATGCTAAGGACTGGACAGGCCACAGAAACTGCATGACCTAATCATCTGCAGCAGTGCCCTCCATACAGCTGCAAGGAATACTGGTAGGATTTCGGAAGTGCAGATTCAACTTTCAGAGTTGCTATTCATTCAAGGTTTTGCAGATAAACAGAAAACTTAACTTCCCAGAGAGATCAATCCAGTACATTTCCAAAGTGCTTTATGCAATATGCATACCCTAAACTTTGCTTTGAAAAGCACGCTTGAAGAGCTGTGAATTTTCACATGAAGATGCCTTTACTTCAATTAATAACAGCATATCATTTGGGACGATAGCTCCCCAAAAAGTTAAAAAGCATCTTAGCTCTCTGACTGATAACATAACTGAGGCTGAACAATCAGCAAGCTGCTTAAAAATCAGCACGGAAATACGTCATCCTTAGAAATCACTGCTGAAATGAAATGCACATTTAATTTTTAAGGTGTAAAAATTAAGATCTTTAAATGAATTGGAAGCAGAGAGAATAAAAACAATTAACCAGGAAGCTTAGCTGGAGAGTATGCTATTCGTTTCCATAAGCGGCTGTCTTCTGAAGCAACATTTCTCAAGCTTAGTCCTTGCTGGGATATGACTGAATGTGCCAGCTCTGAGACTCCAGTGCTCTCCCTCCTGCGGAGAATGCATTGTGGCAGTGTCAACAGACGCTTTTCCTTTTGATGGTGGGGTGAATTCTGAATCCTCAGCTGTTTATTTTGGGGCAGTTTGCCAGCGTCAAACAAAGCTTGCAGTGTGAGTATTTGGGTGAGGGTACGTGACTTAAATAACCAGGATAATGAGAAAATTGACAAGCCTTTGCAATAAGCTAAGATAGCAAGGGGAGAGGAGCCATGGAAGTGAAGTATGTCAGTCCCTATATACTTTTCTAGGTAGAAACATTTAGATATAATTTTTGGACCTATTTTTCCTAGTCTTCAAAAATAACTTCATAAGGGGTTTCTCTTAACACTAGCCCTTTGAGCGAGAGGACTGTCTCTAATCACATATCTAAACAGGAGGAGTGGTCATGGCTCAGATGTAAATTTGGTGGAAGGATGTCCAGGCTGAGTGAGGGTCACGACGGTGGTTCCTGTATCAGGCACGTGCTGGCAGAAGAGCCCGGACGTGGGACTTCAGCCAGACACACACCCTCCACAAAGCATCTCAGCTTGATTGAGGCTCACACGCCTGGCACGTGCATCATGAGCTGTAGATAAACAAGAACGTTGTGCTGGGAATGTAAGTGGAGGAAAGCTGCAGGCAGGAGGGAGGTACAAGCTAATGCTTAGGGTAACCAAAGGCCTTTTAGCTCCGCTAGTAAATCCATCTGCGGCACTCAACACAAAGTGTCAATCTCCACTGAAGTCTCTGAAGCTTCGCTACAACGCAAACAACAACAAAACAGGATTACTTCAGATGCCTTGTTTCAGATAGCACAAGACAAATGGGAGAATGAAAAAGAAAAATTAAGAAACAAGGCAATTTTCATTTGCAGAAGTATTTATAGACATATACACCAGTATATTTTCATATGCATGTGCACGTCTTTCCATTTTTACCTTTTGTTTTTAATACCGTTGAAGACGCACACAGATTTAACAAAGTTTAATATTGAACACAAGAGAAGCTGTAAGAAGCCTAATGTAGGAGGCTATACTATTAAAACAATAGAGATTTCACATGACGGGGGACATCCTCTTTTGTGAACAGTATTAAAACGTCAACTTTATTCAGGAATACAGAATACATTTTTGAAGATTTCCAGTTTACAAAAGTTTAAGACAAGGCTGGGTTCCAACATGCAGCCTCCCTTAAAGCTCTTACATAACATCTCGATTTCAAGTTGAAAAAAACCCCTGAAATCAGGAAGAAACAAACAAAAAGATGAACAAAGCCACAGTCCTATAGTGGGATACATTCAGGTAGAACCCTGTACGGTATTCAAATTCTTTCTGCAGTCATGTATTTCAGTCCATGAGTTTGATACAGCCTTGTGTTAATAGAAAGTATTTGATATCTAGCACAAACTGCAAGAAAAGCACTTGTCTTACAATTTTAGTTTCAGGCACTAAATGCAAAGTAGCTTCTGACCAGCATTAGTTAAAAAAAACAATACTTGTCATTTGATCACCGCTTTAAACATATAGCATTACATTCCTCCATTATTTAAACAAATTTAAATATTCATTAAAAAATAAATTCAGAATCAGTGTCCCTCTATCCTTTTCATCATTAATAGTTTTTTCTTATCTACTAAAACCATTTGTCTTTTCTAAGATGTCTAAACAGTAAAGCGCACAAGATTAACAAGCTGCAGCATTAATTAAAATGAGAGTCATCATCTCATTCCTCCACCCAACTCCTAAATCTATCACAAGGGCCCTATTAGCTGTATCAAAGTGAAGTGGTGTAAATAAAACTGATTTGACTTAAAAGGAGAAGAAGAACGAATGCAGAGTTATTTAAAAATTGCAGTGCAGTCAGTGTTGTTGTGTATGTCACTGTAGACAACAGCACAGAAAATTATTCACAGGCTCTCTTTTAAAAACATTACTGCCAGTTTTCCATTAGTACAATACCAGAGAGATAAATTGTAATTTGCCTTTCAAGTAACTTCAGTTTATTATCAGTTGTATTCACTAATGGCCTAATTTTAAAATACACAGCACTTGCTGACTTCAGTCGAGGTTACTGACCTTCAAAACTTCTGTTTTTTTTTTTTTTTGCTAAAACAACCCAAATCTTATTTCTAATAGGCTAAACCAAATCCCTTAATTTATCACAAGTAGTCATCTCTTCAAATAGCTTTATTGAGCCCAAATATATTAATACCTACTCTGAGCCAAACTATTCATTACTGTGGTCATGATTCAACACAGATATAGAATCAGAATTCGGCTCTGGAGGAAAACTTTCATCAGTTTTACTTCTGTAAGAATAGGTCTTTTAAAAGAACAAGCATTTGTTTAAATATTAGGTACAAAGGAGAGCTCCTGGAGGAGACGCCTCAAACTGAAAGGTGAAGAGCAACTGCAAACAACAGATCAATTCCAACTTTATCAGCTACTGACAAGAAAGCCTACTGCATAGTATTTCATGAGCATTTAACTTCAGCCTTACAAGTTGAAGATCAAGGAACTACAGGTTTTTCAATGAAATATTTAATTCCATCAGCACAGCTGCTGCTACCACCCTTTTTCATAGATTCCCCTGAATAATGCAGTATAATGCTGTATTAACACTACTATTTTCCTACTGGAAAGTGACATGTTATAAACAATTCCTGTATGATAGTACAGCATTTTCTAAATAAACTGGCTAGCAAATCTGTTCTACACACCAGAAAACTGCAGCAAAATGAATATCCTCCATCAAGTTTTAGCATGTTTTTTGGAGGCAGATACTGAACTTCTGTACCCTGCAAAGTTCAATGGTCCCCATAAGTAATAACAAAAAGGAAGACAACATTTGTTTCTCTTTTTGGATCTCTAGACAATGATATGCAAGACCACCCAGAACCATTACCCATTACCAGTCCCCCATCCCCACCCCCACAAATCAACATTCAAACAGAAAGGCACAATTTTTTTTTTTTTTAATAACTCCCATTCTCAAAAAACACCCAGAAGTTTCCTATACAAAGATAAATACACCCTTAGCTGGAAGGGAAAATGTAATACCATGTAGATTTTTTTTTCAAGTCCAAAGAGATTATCTTAATGCAAAAGTTACATGAATATATACAACCTGAAAGAGTATTTTATATATATAGAGTGTGTGTGTGGGTGTGTATGTACATATATGACAGTGACTGACAGAATGCCTAAAGGACAGCCTAGGTCTCCTTTCTTCCTACTGAACAATGCAAGGCAGTGTTTTTCAGATGCCACAGGCAAATGCGTACTTGGTTTACACATACCCCGGTGTCTTAGACCAGATGGGTGAAAGGAAGTCCCCGTGGAAGGTTTGAATGAGGGATATGTACCATGAAAGTTACGCTGGACACAGTGACTTAGTTTCACTAATACAGCTGTAGGCTACTTTAAAAAAAAAATACCCAAAACAAAAGCATGTCTAATGGAACCACTGTGAACTCTTCTACACCCTAAAGTACAAAATAATTTTTGAAACCAATAATACAAAAATGTTAAGGGTAATTCTGATACTGTACTATGTACCTCTCAGTGAAGGCTGAGCAGAATTTTAAGCAAAGCAGGCCAGCAGGGCCTCATGCTCACAGGATACACCTCAGCACCCAACTTCCCTGTTAACTCAGTTATAGGCCTGAGTTTAACGTACTTGTAAAATAAAGAATATTTATCTGCTGTGTGACAATGACAACAGTCTGCCTGTCAGGCTGTACGGAGTGAGTACTTAATTAGCCAAATCCTGCTTTACTGAAGGTGGCATAAGTACATTGCTCGAGCTCCCACTAAGGAGGGAATCGGACCCATTCTTAAAAATGGCTTTACAAGTACTTACCAGCATCTTCATCAATACACCTTAGGACAGGCTGCCCAAACCTATGAGGAAAAGCTGCTGATAATTTGCTTCCAGAGTAAGCAAACACCACTAACGTTAGAGTGCTGCAGTGCTCCCTACCGTATCAGCTGTTAGAATGACCTAGGCTTGCAAAATCCACCTGGCCCCTGCCTGCTACAGCAGTGGCCTCTAGATGTGGAGATGAGCAACACAGCCCTGAACCAATTCAGTTCTATGTGTGGGAACTGAGACCTAACTTTAGTCACTCCCCTACCTACACACAGCTCAGTCTTGAGTTCTGAGCACATAACCTTTGGGGGAAAGAGATTGCCTTAGAAAGATGGTGAAGAAGAAAAGGGAAGGTGTGAGGGGGAGATTGGCTTCTTCCCTGCAAAGCCTGTATAATGACACTGGTCATTATATGGAGGAAGAGAAGTGGGATTCGTCTAATAGGTAAATACTTACAATTTTTCAAGGCCAATTTCTCTCTGACAAAAGAAAGACACTGCACTCCTTTCTGTATATTATGTACAAGCACAGCAACGCAGTGGCATTTAAATTCACAGCTTACCTTCTTTCTTGACGTTCTGAATACCTTTTCATCTGAGTTGCTTTCACAAAGGTGATTCAATACTGTGCACTGAAACATGCTTCACGTAGGAACACTCCAAAAATTAAGATAGAAAAAAACAGATAAAAATACTTCTGTCTTTATGCAGAAACTTGATTTCAACCCAAGGAATACGAATAATGGCAAACTCTGTATAAAAGAATGAGATTTGCATAAGAGAAAATTTGATATTTTAGAGTTCTACAGGTACAAATAAACTATGCAATATGCTGCTTGCATACACACATACACAGTATTAAACATGTGTATCCATGCATGTATGTATATGCACTGTAGACAGTTCTGACAAAACACAGAGCCCAACACCTTCCACTAACATGGCCTTCTTTCAGTTATTTACAGCAATAACAAGCTAGTCATTCACACCAAAGTTTTCCACGATGGGTGTTTGCCTCAGGCTGGTTTTGGTGTTCAAGTTTTAGCTGAAATAGTTCTTCTGTTTTTGAGAAGGAACACAAGGAGCAATGTTGTTTTGCCATGCTTGAAAAGAAGTCTTGCACCGGTTTGTTGAGAAACTTCAGTGCCTCCGTGTACAGCCTTGAAGTTTGACAGATGAGCCAACCTTTGTGATATTCCTGAGAAAACCCATGCTAATTTGGCCTAGTTACTAGCATCTGGGAAAAATAAAACTTATTTGCTCAGTTAGAGACTTGCTGCATCCTCTCAGGCTTAAAAACTTTGAAAATTACATTCACAGTGATAATGTTCCAAACCAGGGAGAGAAGGGTCAAGACACTCTCTGCAATTTGAGCACTGCCAGTGGGCTAGCATCAGGCATCTGATCTCCAAGCAGAAAGACTGTCTCTCTGGTGCTTCAGTGACCACCAGTTGGCACCAGGCAGTGAGAAGAAATGACTCGCATGTAGATAGGACAAGAGCCAGTCTGGAAACAAGAGTTCTTCTGGCATAGTTTTTGTCTGCAAAATCCGTATATATTATACATGCACATACATACATTCATATACAGTAAATATTCCCAGACATATATTAGACCAGGTCTTCAACATAGCACTGATGTTTTTTTACTGGCCTAAACCAGAACCTGCTTGTGGGAATTTTGTGGAGAGCTGATGTGACTGTAGATTTAGTTCTCACAACTCTGGTCTTCATTGAGCCCAAAATGTTGAATCCAACTAACCACCAAGTTTGGATTCAGATCAAGTTATCATTCAGGCACATGTCCACCTGAAACTAATTAACTGCAGATTAACCCATACAGACTTGAAAAAAGTAAGTCCCTTCCTGCCCATCCCAAATACCAGGGCAGTTACACTTCTCTTTCAGCAAGAGCATTGACCAGAGAATCACTTTGGCCGGCTGTCCTCTCAAGGAGAGTTCTGCGGCAGTCCACACCGTCATGGGTACTGCCTGTCCGACTCCCCTCGGTGCCCAGAGGGCTTCCTGCCATGGCAGCATCCGTGCTCACCAAACTTGCCGTCCGAGATCGGTAAGGAGGAAGGTCTGGATGATTAGGGGATTCAGATTCAGAACAATAAGGGGGTGGAGGAAGGTCAAACCAAGGTGGTCTGCTGTAAGATACACAAGATAGTAAGAGGTTACTCCGGACAACCATATGGAAGCAAGTACACAGAGTTTTTCAGTTATGAACAATACAAACAGCATTTCTTGGCTTTTTTATCAGAGGATCTCAAAGAGCCCTACCTACAGTACTCAGGTCATTCCAAAACATCCACTCCACTACCACCAGGTGACAAGGCTTCTAGTCAAGATGCAACATAGCTAATCACATCCTGCTTAACATTTTACGTTATAATTTTCATGGGTATGCACTGCCAAACAAATCTCAGCTTTTCCTCAAAGGCAGCTGCAAGAATTTTTCCTGAATAACACTTTAAAAGAAATAAGGTGGATTTACAGCTGTAGATAATGATGTGAACATAGGAAAGCTCTGAGGAAACCTCCGTTAAGTGATGGAAATTAACGGTTTCTGGCCTACAAATAAATGAACTGAATTCTTCATAAGAAGAATCACTTCTGCTGTCATAATATCACACACACACAGCAAGTGCTAAGTACGCACAGACAAGAGGAGTACTGGGTTCCAGAAAACTACTACTGGTTCTGATAGTAAACACAAAAAGGGACTGAAAGGTTTAGCAGATGGATAAAAGGTCTTAGGAACAACTAGCTCTGAAGTTGCTGATGGTGGTATCAATCAGGAGAGGAGCGATTACAATCTGGACAGCTGCTCCTTTAGTTGTCCTTACTAAAGGAAAGATATTATTGAGTGTCAACATCAAGACAAAGAAGCCGCTGCCAAATGCAGCAGAGAACAGGAACATAAATATTTTGCTATGATTCTTATACCCCAGAGTTCATATGGAAGAATACCAACAGGATGACAGTGAACAACCTGGATCATCAGAGTTCATACTGTGCCCTTTTTATGCAGGGAGGATGACAGTCCAGTAGTTTTGCTTGGAAAGAGTTTACAGATAGAGGTTAAAATGAAGGTTAATTATCTACAGATAAAACTAGTGTAATAACTACAAAAAAAAACATGACCCAAATGACACCAACCCACAAAAATTTACAGCACTTTCAGCTTTTTAGAATGAGAACAGCATTTTCCATTTCACAGAGGTCTTTTTCCTTCTGCTGAGGAAGAAGAAAGGGGATAGAGCAGGAGGACTATATGACTTCTTGTTGCAAGAAACGCAGACTTATTACTTTTGGTAATGGAGATGTGTCATAAGCTTTTAAGATTTTTAAATAGTAAGACTTGCAACTAAGCTGTCTCCTGGAATAAATGCAAATTCAATTTTCATGTTTTGATTCCAGACTAGCACAGGATTTCACTACTAGAGAAGTGACATATTTCTTCCCATTCTCCCGACATCCCCATGCACTACACATACTAAGACAGCATGACTGAAGTTTGTCTTAAATCCCCTTAATGCCAGTAACAAGAAGGGCACGTGTGGACTCCTGAATTTTTCATATGCAGGGGGAGCTATGAAAAAGACTGCCCAAATTTGGCTCCCTGTAAGTGACAGAACTGCAACATAGCACCTTTGTCAAAAACAATAGTAAAGACAATTGGGAAGCAGAAGCACAGATTCCAGGAGCTGCAACCCGTAGCTTTAAACTTTGATGAAAACAGAATTAGCTCCTGTACATACCTTTGGTCTAGCACAGCCTCTGAATAGGATGGTGGAGAGTCTAAATCCACTGGCCTGTGGTAGGCCTGGTTGGACATGTACTGGATCCCATTGTTGACGTTGTAAGTGACACTGCAGTGGTGTGGATGATCAAGGACCACCAGTCGGGACAACAAGACAGGGTGCTGCAGTCGATGTACAGGCAGGGTCATGAGATTGTTGCGTTTTCTTTGGTGATGCAGAACCAAGGCAAGAAAGGCCACCACAAGTACAAAAATGACAGAGCTACCAATGATAGCATAGGTAATACTAGGGTAGTAGAGCAGCTGATTCTCTGAGGTCACATAATCTTGGCCGCTGCCTGCCTCTGCAAGACAAAAGGAAAAGAAAGTCTGAGATTTGTTTTGATACAAAATTCTGTTCTTAAGCTAGGCTGTTTTCTGCTAATGCACTGCGTGACATGCTGCCAGACCAGCTTCCAAGCAAGTTTCCTTTCTTCCTCTAGGACTGTGGAAAATTACCTTATTAAAATCACATGCATGAAAACCAGAGACTGGCTGACAATCAATCAGTTCTTCTTCAGCTGCAGTAAGTGCCTACAGTGGATGTAGATATACTCAAACTAGAGGGAGAGACAGAAACTGAGAAAGAGAATACACAATGTAGTAACCTTATAAGAGTGCACATGCTTGATTTTTCCCACATCCCTGCCTGTCGATCCTAACACCCCTCTGGCCACAGCTGAGAACATCCAGTTCTAAGGCATAAGCACAGTACCTTAAGCTGTATCTGGCAAAACAAACCAGAATCAGAAATAGAAAAGGCCTGATCTTTACATTAATGATAATTTCCAGAGCAGTCCAAGTTTACATGGAGCTTTTCAAAAAAGGCAGCAGATAGATTTGTGGAGCGGAGAATCTCACAGTCCAAAACAAGTACAGCAGAAAAAAATACATAGCTGCTCAGTTAAGGTGATTATTTGAATGTCTGTGATCAGAAGAGCTCCTCCTGGAAGAAATTCAAAGAAGGAAAAGTGTTGGAACTGCATATAAAAACGGGGATGTAAGCCTGGTAGATGTGCGATATTAGTAAAAGATGAGAAAGCTTAAAAGGAAAAAGTGCAGGCAAGGAAGTGAATGGTAAACAAGCCGTGTCCCCCCCCACCCCCTGCAAACAGGAAAGCATAGGACAAGATGAGAAAGAGGCATGTGCTCACGCAAGTGAGCTTCAACTTGACATGGCTGGGAATAGCAATTAAGTGGTAGGGAAAAGGAGCAGAAGCATGACTTTAAACAACAGTATTTCAGGGATGACCGACAATAAAAAAGGCCAGATAAGAAGAGGTACTTCATATAGCATATAGTCAATATTTTATTTGTTGGAGGCACAGAGGAACTGGCTAAGTTAGCAAATACTATAAAAGAAGCTAAGATAGGATTTATCCAGAGTCATGATATAGCAGAACAAACACCTAACCAGGCTCCTGGTCCAGGGAAACAAATAGGTGGTAGAATAATGACATCTGAATGGATCTTGAACTGCATGGAAGTTTTACAGAAAAAAATAATCAAAAAAAAAAAGCAAAAAAATAAAAGAAAAATGCAAAGGGGGAAAAAAGCTCAGAGAAGCAAAAACAACATATGTGCACACACACTGATGCGACTCAGTCACGCTTTGGGTCAATGCCAAAACAAGGAACGAGTTCTCCTGACTCCAGTCTAGCACCCTGCTCATAAGGTCATAAAGCCTTTCAGCACTGTTTTCTTTCTAGGCAAAATTTGGGAGGAACTTCTGATTCCTTACAGCCTCAAAAATAAAAATGCTGTTCTGGTACAATACAAGACATTCATGTACCTCAAGCTAAACCAAAAAAGGCTGAGTAAAACAAACAGACCAAAACCAAGCCCCTGACCCCCCAAATCCACCCAATTACAGAAGGGCCATCCATCCAAGATCTTCATTCTCTACTGCAGAAGGCTGGTACAGTAAAACCTAGCATACAGTTTTCCTTCCTTTCACCTGTCAGCTGAAAATACTTTCTGGTCACTTAGAATTGCAACTGAGCCACTTACGAATCTCTAGCAGCAAAATAATGAAGTATATATACACCGTTTCTGGGAGAATGGAAGAGCTTTCCTGAGTCACCCACTGTTCTGCATCAAGACTGCTAGGGTATTGCTCTCAGTATTTAGTTTTGGTCATTCACTTTCACAGTAAAATACAAAATCACATTTGACAGCATCATTAAAAATAACTTCCGCATTAGCTGGGTAAGATAATGCAATTTAAAATGGCTAATCCTTTGCTTTTAAATATATACCCTTTAAAATCAAAGATGTTTTAGTAAAGAGGAGTGAGATGGGAAAGAAAAACTGTACCAAAAATGAAAAACCACAATTATTGGCCCTATTATTGACTACAAAAAAACCCTACTGCTCTTAGATAAATCCGTTTTACTGATGATGCCAGTATAACCAGAGTGCTGCTTTGTAGGCCAGCTGCAGGCCATGCTGCACCGGGAATCATCACAGCTTTCCTGGTACCTACTGTCAGACCTCAGTGAGAATCGACACTAAATTCCTTTCCTCATGCAGTCATACTGGAGAGAAAGCAGAAAAGGTATTGCTACCAGTCAACACCAGGTCTCCGACTTGCCTACTAACCTGAACTGCGTCTGCATGAAGAATGCAACTCAGAACAGACGAGACGAAAGGAATTTACATACATTAGTAAGTTTAATTACAGCTCATCACATACTGCTGCAGCTTCTCCAATGCACTCCCCAAATTCACCAGCAGACTGGAGAATTCATGCCACATAAGACAGGTAAGAGCCAGTGTGGGGAGTATGGTGACAAGCAGATCGTTTTAATGCAAATATTAACATATTTATTGGCAAGGAATGATCCATGGATGAATATCACTACCTGCAATCCTTCAGTGCAAGTAAGGTAAGTATATTACGAGGTCCCAGCAAAACAGCACAAAACTTCTATTCAGCTTAGCTCACTAGTTGCTGCACGTTGGCAGAAGGCTGAGGACAGGATGTCTTTGCAGATCTGATGAGAACTAATTTGTTACCATGGGACCACTGTGAAGCCACACAGTCCTTTTTATTTATAATCTCCATCTTTATTAAAAAGGAAGAAAAATGAGAGCAGTGCATTGCATTGTATGTCAACTTCTCTATAAAACACTTCAGGTTATCTGTCCGTTTAGGATAGCTTCTTAAATGTCCCGTGTGGAAAGCCCCCACATATCCAGACAGATGAACCAGAATGCTGAAGAAAGAATATTTTGTTGAAAGCGGGATGTCTTAAACAGGGATCTGATAACAGCCTAAGTATGGTCTGAAACAAAACATCTGCTTTATCTAGTTCTGTGCTATTTTTCATGCAACAACAACAAAGACCTATCCATTTTATAGAGATTTTAGGAAACGTTTGCAGTTAACGTGCTATTTTGGAGCTTTGTGAATGTTGTGGCTAATGAAACATCATTTGTTTACCAGTGATTCTCTATTCCTTCCCAGGTTTTTAGGTTTATTGCTTGTATTCCCATTTAGCTCACTGTATCTCTGAGAATAAGAGCAATCTAGGGGTATGTCTACACCAGGGAGTGCAGCCCTATGCTGAGATCTCCGAAGGAGAAGCGCAGCCATGACAGCACAGCCATTAGCACTGCATTGAACAGTGCTAATTGGTGCAGCTTTGTGAACTGGCTAATACAACTATATCGCATTTGGAATCTAAATTAGCATCTCTATCAGTGCAGCTATTACTAGCTGATGTACCTCTAACATGGAGCATGAGGAGTATAGATGCATCCAATGAAGAGGAAGAAAGCTGGTTTACCCACCAAGTACTCTTCCTTCAGCACCGAGCAACAGTGAATAAATACTTTGCATAGAGACATCCTCTCTCCCCATGAAAAGAATCCAGCCCCTTGGATTTGCAAACATGCATAAACTTTATGCCTCTAGAGGAACAGACGAGCAGCGCTCCCTATCCAGAAAACAGCGTTCCGCCTAGAAAAATTCAGCTATCATCAAAACACACTATTCTACTACCACAAAAAACACAACTTATTCTTGCCTTACAGGTAGGTTTTCTGGGCCAAGAAAAATCTTAAAGTCATTTAGCAAAAACATCCTCACAAATGAAGGCCAGTGGTATTCCATGGCATAAATTAAACTGATTAAGACCAAGTCCGAGCCTAATCTTCTCCCTCACCTAGCAAAGCCAGTAAATCCAAAACTACAAAAGATGAAAGTAACGGTATCTGAGCCTGCTCCGACATCACTGCTTGGGGCCCTCGCATCTAGGACTTGTACCACCAGAAAAGACATTTTCCATTCAAAGAAGAGAAACAAATTTCCCTTAAAGGTCACCTTCCAAAACAATGCTCTAAGTGATAACTAAAAGAAAAGTAGCAGAATTATGAAACAGTTTTGCATATAAGAGATTTATAGTATGTTTTTGTTCTTCCCACTGTATTGGAAAATGTTGAAACAAGTGACTGCTTCGTAACTCCCCAAGAGGACATACTCAGAAAAGCTGCAGAGGAAGGAATACACATCACTGGTGTACATCCAGCTGGTGTTTTCCCATATCCTCTCAGTGCCTAACCTCTTCTGCTGTGCTTGTAACATGCTGAATAAAATGAGCTATACACACTCCCTTTCTCTTAATGCAGTGTCCTATCCTAGCCTTTAAATTTGAGGAGAAAGTTCTGCACTAGGAGAAAACACAGGTGCAAATAACTGCTTCCCACAGACGTGACATTCTGGGTTTTGCACAGTCACATGGAGGTGTGGAAGGGAAGGAGGGGTAGCTGGCTGAGACTGCTTTATGAATGCCAGGCTCATGTATGTATTGTGCACATGTAATAGGGAGAAGATGAGACATAACACCTAGTCTTTGCTGGACATGCAATACCAGTTCAGAAAGAAAAAGCCACAACTCTAGTTCTGCTCTAATAACTTTCTGCAAATGTTTACACATCACATAAGTCACTAAACTGAATTTCTTGGTAATTCAGTCACCTTTTCCCAGAAGAAGCAGGCATTATCTAGGCAGGTTTAGAAAGTTCTGTCTATTCTGCTATTAAATGCAATTCACAAAAAAGGGAGTGGGCAAGCTAATTTTGCTTAAATTCACGGAGTACTTATTCTTTCTTTTTTCTCCCCCTTAAAAAAGATCTATGTTTTCTAATCACACCATGTATAAACAGTTTATCAATGCCACTTATGCCTATTAAACCTTATTACCTGGGAAATGCTGAATTCACAGACCGTAGATTTTGGAGTGTAAAGAGCTTTGTTAATAATTTAGGAAAAGAGTGATAAAGGATACATTATGGGTTGTGC